ATGTTCACAGCAGCATTATTCATAATAGCCAAAAAAGTGGAAACAACACAAAATTTCCATCAACTGATGAATGGATAAATAAAATGTGGTGTATCCATATAATGGAATATTATTCAGCAATAAAAGGAAATGAAGTACTGATACATTCTAAACATGGATGAATTTTGAAAACATTAAGCTAAGTGAAAAAGAAGTCAGTTGCAAAGGACTACATATTGTATGAATCCACTTATACAAAAGTCCAGAATAGGCAAATCTATATAGAGACAGAAAGTAGATTAGTAGTTGCCTAAAGCTGGGGACGTGGGGGGATGGGAGTAGCTGGGGAAGTAGGGAGAGGCGATAACTATGGGCTGTAGAGCTGCTTTTTGGAGTAATGAAAATGTACTAAAATTGACTGTAGTGATGGATGCACAAATGTGTGAATATACTAACAGCCGTTGAATTGTACACTTTAAATGAGTGAATTGTATGGTATGTGAATTATATTAATGTCTCAATGAAGCTGTTAAAAAAGATAAAGCTACCAGAAATTATGAGACAACCAGTAAAATATGAATACTGACTGGATACTTGATGACGTCAAATAAGTTCTTGTTTTAGGTGTGATTACAGTTTGTGGGTTTTTATAAAAAGCGTTCTTATTTTTTAGAGATACCTACTGACATATCTACAGATGAAATGATAAATTTACGATTTACTTCAAAATAATGGGGGGTGTTCAGTAGGGGGAGGAAAGATGAAACTAGCCCAGTCATGAGTTGGTCATTACTGAAGCTGGTTGCTGAGCACGTAGCAATTCATTATGTTATTCTTTTGTATGTATTTGAAAATTTCCAAAATAAAAGAACTAGAAGACAGAAGACAACGATCTTTGTCAGGCTGTACCCCTCGTTCACTCTGTGAGCCTCTCTTTCTTCTGGGTTTCCTTATGGAAACTGAGGATGACAATACCTGTATCTCACACCATTCTTCTGAGGCATAAAAGTGAAGACGTGGAAGAATGCCCTACCAAGACATTTATCTCCATTTTGTTAAACAAGATCAGATTCCTGACAGCAGTCCAAAAGAAAATCCTCTGATCACACTCAGGGGTGCTAGGAAACTGACGATAGCAATCAGTCTTCCTACCACTCAATCAGTACTCCCTACAGCAATGTGGGATAGTCCCAATTCAAACAACCTTGTGGTAGGTGCCAACGGACTTTGAACAAGCAGCCTCAGGAGAGAAAAATTTAGAGCGGGAGGAGACACTTAACGTCGAAGTCTTCATTCTACTATCCCCATCGGTTTATCGCTAAGCCCTTAGCCTCTCACAAATTCCATCTCCAAAGCTGGAACTGGTGCGGGTGGGGGGGTAGGGCGGCAGAAAGGAGGACGAGCGCCTGGGTTCCCCAAACAAAGGAGGCTGAAGACCTAGCCTATGTGACCGTGAGGAAAAGGCCACTGCCTTCTCTCTCCCATTCTCACCTTACTCGACTCAATAGCAGGAGTCTTCAAGCAGGTAGATCGGTTGGATTCGGTGGGAGGGAAGCGAGTGTGAGGGGGCGGGGCTACAAGGGTACAGGAGCCAATGGGCGATGACACGGGTTTACGCCCCCTCCAGCCTCCTATCTTTGAGCTTGAGGAGCCTGCGACTTCAGAGGCCCAGAGACTTCGGAAACTTCTGCTCTTTCCGTTCACCAGATCCACCCCACCAATGGTTGGGGGTGTTTTCTTTTCCTTTCTTTATCACAGAAACTTACCCATGGGCCCTAAGCAATCTGAACTCTGAGATCTCTGAGCATTTAAAGAAAACCCATTCCCTGGTTCTTTGGCAATTCCGACCACCTCTACCCACAGCCCCCATCCCCAGTGGCTGACAGGCCTCGATCTTCTTTTTGGAAGTATTTCACTTCTATTATGGCGTCAACTTCCCACAAGTTCTGAGAGACCAACTCAGTTATCATCTGCTGGGAAAATTCATTTCATTTAGCCCCGTGATAAAACCAGCAACGTTTCTTACTGAACAGCTATGGGACTCTTGGTGGGCCCAGCAATACAACTTGGTACTTCTTCAAACTGGTTGTGCATTGACTCACAGATGCACTTAGTCCACAACACAGTGTTGAAACCACTGGTGCAACCTCTTTTTAAAAATAATTTTTAGACCTGTGATGGAATGACCATGTCTCAGCAAGCACATTAACATCCTTTCCATCTTTGTTGAAGCCACCATTTCCCAGGTTTCCCTTGGCTAAAGCCAGCCCCTAGATAAAGCACATCTAGTAATCTAACATCTGAATTTGCCAGGGCAAGGAAAGGGCAGGAACCCAAGGCTAGACATTTGGCTCTAGAAAGAATGGAAGCTTTGTGAGGGGAAGACTGAACACCTGAGATATCTATAGCAAAGAAAAAAGATCTGCTCACACCCAGTGCTTGTAGTTCCAGTGCACTGATTTATTGACCAATAGCATTATTCCTCCAGCTCTGACCCAGGAGATAAACACACCAGAAGCAGCAGGATTGGTAGGTGTCACCAGTAGTGTATATGAGTTGTGCATGTGTGTATACTGAGGAAGGGGATGGAGGAAAACAATGATAGTGGTAGCCAAGGAAGATGGGGCCCAGTAGGGGCCTGCAAAGCCAGGCTCCCTGACCCATAGTGCCCCTCCCCTTAGATATAAAAGTGGTTCTGGATCCAGCGACGTCGACAATTGCAAGTTGACATTAAGAGTTGCCTGTTCAATCTGTTCTGAAGGATATGTGATGTCAAGCCAAATGAATGAAGTTAGGATGTCACAGTGCAGGTTGACTGGTACTTTGTTTTATCACCTTGTAGAATTTTCTCCTCTTGGACCTCTTTACTGGGCGTCATCTAGACACTTAGGAGTAGGGATTTGGAAGATATCAGAGGCTCCTCCTGGCTCTTGGATCTGAAGGGAATCCCTTGGGTGAGGCAATATATTAAGTATACAGGGATGGGGAATATGACAATGAGAAAAATGGTGATCACCAAGAGCAGTCCTCATGATGGGTATTGTCAAAGCACCTCTTTTGACTGTGGAGAGATGGGAAAACATTCAGAACATCAAAGTTCACAGTAGAAGAGTAAGTATTGTGAAGGGGAAGAATAGTTGGAGGGAATCAGGGCAGAGGACTAATGAGTCTTCAGGGAGTCACAGAATGAGATGACTGGGTTCTTCTGCCAAGAGTGGATTGAAAGGTCTTGCCCCCACTCTCTAGGGGGATCTGGGTCCTGGGGAGAGAGGCTTATAGTGCTCGAGTCCCAGGCCACGTAGGTGAGGTTTTTCATACAAAGATGAATCAGGAGGGACACAAATAGGATTAGCAGCACAACTGGACACAGATATCACCACAGCCAACCACAGATGGGGGAGATGGGATGGCCCAACAGGACTGTCATGTCTGCAAGGAATCTGGGAAAGGGCCACAAGAGCATAGGAGGCCCAGTCAGGACTTACGCAGCCTTGAGGGCAGTGGCAGCCCAACCTTAGTGTTGTTGAAATATTCTATTGCATCTCTAGTCTTCTGATTCATCTCAAGTCTCATCCTCTCTCATCTTCTTCCTAGTCAGTCTATCTTCCATCCCAACCCTAGAAAAATTTTCAAACATCTTTCTTCTGCTCAAGAACCTTCCATGGCTATCCCATGCCCTCAGGGTAAAGGCTAAGTCCTTTTCATTCATCACATGAATATGAGAATGTTTATGATGTGCCAGGGACACTTCTTGGTGCTCGGTATCCAGCTGTGAACACCACAGACAAAAAAAAGTAACACTCATCTCTCAGGGAACTTACCTTAGTTTCTTTCAGCCACATTTCCAGTCTCTTTAATACACATTCTCAATCTCCATAACTATACGAGTGGGATCTGTTGGTCTAGAATGCCAATCTTCCTTCTTCGCCTTTTCTCTGCCTATTCATCTGTCCAGACTCTGCTCAAGCACCTACTCCTCTAGGACACCTTCCCTAAGTCTCTAGTCATCCTTAAGCAACCGTCTGTACCCCTGGAGTGTCCCTGGTTACCTCTACTATAAACCTACCACCCTGTATTAGGATTATCTTTTTGTATAGGTCTATCTCTTTGGACTTTGCGCTCTTCAAGAGGAGGAGCTCAATATAAGTCATTCATATTCTAGTACCACAAAGCTTTCCTGACACAAAGTCTCAAGAAATGTTTGTTGAGTGAGTTAATAAGTGAGTGAACTGACTCCAAGAACCACTATCACTTAAAAATGCTGAGCCTTTGACCTTTGAATTATACCACTTGAATGTCCACACACCAGCCTGGCAAAGAGACAGGCTGAGAAGTCCTTTGTATTTTATTTGAATATACTTCCATTCCACAGTTATGTCTTCTAGGTCCCAGTCCCTGATTATCTTGTTCCCTTTCCCTTATCTCTCTGGCCTCATCTCCTACCATTCTATTCCAGCCTCTCTGACTTGCTTGTTCCTCAAAAAATCCAGGCATGATGCTTCCTCTGGCCTTGGTACTTCCTGTTTCCCTGCTAGGAACACTCTTTCTTGAAATCTCATCATGGCTCCCTCGCTCATTTCATTCAGGAGGCTGCTCACACATCACCTTATCAGAAAGGCCATCCTACCTGATTAGTGCCCTCACACACTCCCACTTTGATCAGCTTACCTCACCCTTTGATTTTCTCCTGTCATTTATCATTTTTATTCTTGAAAATTTTATTCTTTATTTTTGTTTGTTAATTTGGTTGTTGTCAATCTACACCACTAGAATGTAAGCTCTCTGAGAAAAGGATAGTTGTTTTATCCAATGCTGTATCCCTGGTGATCAAAACAGTGCCTGGCACATATGAAACACTCAAAATATATGTCAAATGAACAAACGAATAAAAAGATTTTCCAGAAGGCCCTGAAATTAACGGTCCCTATGTCACTCTAACTGGGTGAGAGTAGAAGTAACAAGAAAGGGTCAACCTTTCCTATGGTCCCATGCTTTGTGGGAACCTGGGCTTACGACATTACCTCCTGGCGCCATAGGCCCAAGCTATGGTCATGTTTTCAAATATGATGATGATGATGATGATGATGGCGAGAACTGTCCACTATTCAGTCAGCAGTCTGATGAAGTACATGCCTGAAGGTCGAGTGAAGAAGAGGCTGCACAGGAACATGAGTAAAGAGAGGCCTGCTGGAGGAAACATGGGATCTGGATCAAGGTCAGAGGTCTGGCTATGTGACAAGGCCTGAGTGGAGGTCATAGACCAGAGCTGGGTAAGAGTTCCAGTAGATCATGGTCATTGTTAGGAGTAGGGCCATAGGTCAGAGTACCTGTGAGCAGCCTTATGTATTTCCTGAGGGAACAGAAGGTGTCCTGGAGTGAGAGAATAATGGCTTGCACGATCCCTATGGTGGTGCTCATTCCCAGGCCCAGCTGCAGCAGGAAGAAGATAACAGACCAGATGATAGACCCAGGAAGGAATGACAGTCCTTCAATAAAGGACAGGAATGCAAAGCTTGGGCCCTCCCTAACCTGCAAGGAGAGAAAGAACAGGAGGTTAAAGTGTCACTGAACTTAACAACAATAACAACAAAAAATACAGACAAAGATACGTTCTAACTTTCCTGGCAAACTCCCTAAAAGCCCAGGGTCACTGAGACAATCAGATCTTCAAGCTAACCCTCTGACATGGAAAACCAATCCACCTAGCATTATCCATGGAACGGCATTCTGCAAGCTATAGTTCTTTGTGTTAATATTATTGGAACAGCAGGTTATTCTTGTGCTTCTCGGATTTTTCTGGTGCTAATAAAAGCTAAAATTTCTATTGTGCAGAAGACTCTGAGGAACTACAGGCCTTCCTCGGCTATCTTTACTGACCTTCATAAACTGATTCTCTGTGTTGCACTCAGGCACCTCACTGAGGACCATGCTCTTGATGTGCTGGGGAAGGCTGTTGAGCCAGTTATTGTAGACAGAGGTTGGGTTATCAACCAGGTTCTCAGGGGGGCTGGCATCAGGAGGCAGTTTCCCCAGGGCTATCAGCTTTGAGAGTGTTTCCACATTCCTGGGGACAGGGGGTTGAATCAAATAGGACCATCTGGCCCCTTAGGAGATGACCTCCTTTCCCCTTATCTTCCAGATAAAAAAGGTTATCACTAGCCTGGCATTACTGATGTGGGTAAGATAGAGCCTGGGACGAAACCTGGAAGACATCCACCTTCAGGGCCATGAACTAGTTTGGGTGTGCCTGGAGGATCCTAGAAGAAGCATTTTCTATAGTTTTCTTGGGGACTCTGTGGGCTCTGCTCTAGTGATGGAGTCTCTTATTCATCGTCTACCTCTCCTCTCCCTCCCTTCTAAGACTAGTGGGTAAAAGCGAACCTTCTAAGCTTCATGTTACATAATGTCAGAGAACACAGTTTACTTAGACTATGATGTGCATTTTGTTCCCATGTAGTTGTGCTATGTGAGGGAAACTGCTTCTTGGACTTTTTGGTGTGAGCCCTGTTGATCATTTCAGCCTCTTCTTCCATGACCCTCTTCACATTTCATGTTCTGGCCAGATTTAACTACTTACAGTTTTGGGGCCCACCATACCCTCTTATACCCAACACCAACCCCACTCCCATCACTATTCTTCACTTGGCTAAGTCCTATAAATCCTTAAAAACTCAGCTCATTGCTCTATAAGAAATATAATGGAAGGCTTGCCAAAATTTACTGATGGCCAGGTGTGGTGGCTCACACCTGTAATCCCAGCACTTTGGGAAGCTAAGGTAGGAGGATCACTTTAGGCCACAAGTTTGAGACCAGCCTGTGTAACATAGCGAGATTCCATCTCTACAAAAAAAATAATTTTTAAAAATTAGCTGGGCATGGTGATGCGCATCTGTAGTCTAGCTAGTCAGGAAGCTGAGGCAGGAGAATCACTTGAGCCCAGTAGTTGGTGGCTGCAGTGAGCTATGATCTCACCACTGCACTCCAGCCTGGGCAACAGAGCAAGACCCTACATCAAAAAAAAAAAAAAAAGATTTACTGATAAGAGCAAAATACAAGCTTTAGGAAAGTAAGTAGAGTTTGACCACATTTTAGAAAATAAAATACTATATACTATTCTAGTAAGAGGCCAGTTAAATATTTGGACCAACTTTCTCATTGGAAATAATTTAAAAGGCTAGACGATATTTTTTTAATCTTCTTTAAAAATAAAAATGTTGACAAGATAATAAGAAATTATCAGGCAAAAACTGAAGTACAGAAAAAAGCAGAGGAGAAAGGGGACTTCCAAAGATACTATTAAAACTATGTTAAAATATTTTTTAAAACATGAACCTGATAAGTAGAGAAAAAGACAAGATCAAAAAGAACCAGTATAACTTCTAGAAATTAAAAAATGCCCTATCTAAAATGACATATTCACCAGATGATAGCAATAGCAGATTAGACACTGAAGGAAAGATCGATTCACCATGTTAACAAAAATATAGAAGAAATATACAATTTTCTTAATAATTATAGAAGTATTAACAAAATCCCAGCATAAATTCATATAAAAATTCGCAGAAAACTAAGAATAGAAGAAAACTTCTTCAACTTGATAAAAGATATCTAGGGAGAAAAAATCTGCAAATTATATCACATACACTACTGAACCACTGCTATGCACCACTGTACTCTACATACCACTGCACTCTAGCCTGGGTGACAGAGTGAGAAAAGAAAGAAAGGAAAGGGAAAGGGGAAGGGAAAGGGGAAGGGGAAGGGGAAGGGAAAGGGAAGGGAAGGAAAAGAAAAGGAAAGAAAGAAATCCAGTCATTTTCAACAACTTGGATGAACCTGGAGGACATATTAAGTGAAATAAGCCAGGTGTGAAAAAATAAATACCACAGGATCACACTTTTGTGTGGAATCTAAAAATCTGATCTTATAGAAGCAGAGAGTAGAATGGTGGTTACCAGAGGCTTGGGTGTTTAGCCAGGAGGCAGGGAGATGTTGGTCAAAGGATATATAATTACAGTTAGATAGGAAGAGTATTTTTAAAATGTGTCTAGAATAGGCGAATATATAGAGACAAAAAGTATATAAGTGCTTGGCTGAGGCTGCGGGGTGGAGGTGCAGGGAGGAATGGGAAACAACTACTAAAGTTTATGGAGTTTCTTTTCTGTGTGATTAAAATGTTCTGAAACTGATTGTGGTAATGGTTGCACAATTCTGTGAACACAGTAAGAACCACTAGATTGTACACTTTAAATGGGTGAATTGTATGACATGTCAATTAAATCTCAATAAAGCTGTTTTTTAAAAAAAATTAATGAGGTAGAGAACAACAACAGAACTCATTAATAAATTAAAATCCTGGTTTTAAAAAAGCTGATAACTGGGCATGGTGGCTCATGCCTGTAATCCCAGCATTTTGAGAGGCCAAGGTAGGATTGTTTGAGGCCAGGAGTTTGAGACCAGCCTGAACAAGAGTGAGACCCCGTCTCTACAAAAAACAGAAAATTAGCTGGGCATGGTGGCATACACCTGTAGTCCAAGCTACTTAGGAGGCTGAAGCAGGAGAATCACTTGAGCCCAGGAGTTTGAGGTTGCAGTGAGCTATGATAACGCACTGCACTCTAGACCAAGTGACAGAGTGAGACCCTGTCTCAAAAAAAGAAAAAGATAAACAATTAAGTAACATGCTAGGAATTAATGGATGCTTCTTTAACATGATAAAAATATATATTTATAAATGTAAAACATACACATATACACCTTA